AGGTGCTTGGGAATGGGAAAGGGAGTCCTATGAAAATTATTGGGCTTAGTGGGTCCAATTAATTGAGGGAATTATCCCACTGCCAGCATTGTTTCATTTTTAAATTCTTGTGAAATATTTTTGGGTAACGTACTTTGGTTGCCAAATAGAATATTTAAATAATTTAAATTTTTGTTTCGAAATTTTATCCGAAGATAGCAAATTTTGTATCCAAGCAATGTATGATCATTGATCTTATTTATTTTGTCTTGTATGTATTAAAATGCACCCACTCGACTTAATTGTCTTCCAAAAGGAATGGTTTTATTAAGATTGCGAGCAATAAATACATTTCAAATTTATAGGGTCGGTTGGCTTTCCATTACCAAAGATTGCTAGGCAAGTACAATTAGATATCAAAGTCAATTGAAAGTCAATTAAATAATTAACTTAAGCCACTGCTAAACACCTTAAAGTCCATTTATATGGTTAAATATATCGTTAACTTTATAGATTTACCCATTAGTTTTATTAGATTTGGTCGACAGCGTGTAAATCGGTCATAAGTCAGCGGTCCCCAACTCATTGATTGCATGTACTTGATCTATAAAGAATATCGGCTTAGTTTCCCATCCTGCTCGCACCTCTTTGGCCGCATGACTTTATGACAAGCGCGCTAGGTAGCCAAGTTCGTTGCCTAAGTCTTTTGTATTGCGACTGGGCATGCAAATATTTGCATAGATACTTACACACCCACGGGCCGCTTCGAAGTGCGCCTTGGCAACAATGGGCTGCCAGAGCCTCCTTTACTTGCTAATATATGTGTGCAGCTATATAGATACGATGCCAAACTTTAAATATATTACACTCTAATGCCTTTTAAGCCGAAACTATAAATTTCTTATCGCCGATCGAAAATCAAGCGTGCTCACCACAAGTCACAGTCAAAAAGCAAAGCCAGGTATTTGGCCACTGGCATTGGGACTTTGCCTAGATAGTTGGCCAGCAAAAAAAAAAAACAGAAAACAGAAAACTGAGGCTGAGGCACACACCCTAGTTGGCTCACTCGTGCGTCATATTCAAATGCGGCCAGATCCAGCTTTTCAGCTCCGGCTCCAGGTCGCAGATTGCGTCCGCCAGATAAGCGAACGCCAGCGCCACTGTTTCGATGACTACGGGAGTACGGGAATGGGACTACTCCGACTATGGCATATGCTATATGGTATATGGTGTATGGCATTCCTTCAAAGGCCGTTCGCCAGACCAACGCTAACGGATCGCGCAAGCAGGAACCGCTGGCCATAAATGGCCAAAATGCATGCGCTGCCTTAAACAGTCAAATGTGTGGATAATAATTTTGATTTATTGCCCCAGCATCGCGGCCAACGAGCCACCGCAATCGGCAATCTGGGCTAGATAACTCAACTATGGCCCGGGCATTGTGGCCATTATCAGGGGAGGCTCACTCGGCTCAACCTGCCGAAATGCCTGATTTTTCCTTCTTAGTTTTTTCAGTTTTTTCGGGGCGTGTGCTGCGGTGTGGGGCGTGTGCCTTACATGCTAATGAGCCAACTTTCAGTGGACCAATCGCTGAACGTCTAGGCGGCTAACAATGCCCACGTTTGCTAACAATATGAATTTTAAGGTCTCTGTCCGTTTTTTATTTATTTTGTTTCTCTTTTTTTTTGTATTTCATGTTCGAATACCTTTTTTGCATAATTTATACATTTTGCGGTAGCTCAGACTGACCGCAACTCTTTCCCGTTTTGCCTGCATTTTAATTATGAAACTAACTCGTGCCAGACGCCAAATCGAATCGAATCGAATCGATAATTTGCATGAGCAACGCCTGAAACGCCCGAATTTTGCACAATCAACACAATAATTACAATTGAGTTGTATTTGTTGTTTGACTGCTGTTCAGCTAGTCCCAGAAGTTTTCTTTTTGTCTGAAAAAAAAAAGAAAGTCGGCCGTCTTACTTTCTCGGCGTTTATCAGCCCGCTCGGCTATCGTATTCGCTTATCGCCAACAGCAGCTGCAGAGTCATTCATCTTGTGGCCGGCAAATGAATCTGCAAATAAAGCTGTTGCCCCGGTGATCTGTCAGTGGTGCTCTGCCCCAGCCTCTTTTAATTGCAGGCCAAATTGAAGTTGACATTTATGCCTGCACTCCATTTCGAATTTTGCAGGCCAGGCTAATTGCCCAGAATGCCGAGATTCGCCTGAGTTGCTGAAGCTGCTGAAGTTGCTGAAGTTGCTGAAATCCTCGAGTCCTCCTCTAACGGGAGTGGGCCTCAAATGCAGACGATCACATGCAAATTGAGCTGTTCGGGGGACTTGTAGTTGCAGTTGTACGCACAATTAGTGTTAGTCGTTTGGCCGGGACAACACTCAATGGCAATTAGGGTCGGCCGGCGTACAAATCCCATGTAAAATGCCAGTTTGTTGGCCCGAGTGTCTGTGTGACAAGTGTGCGCCTTGTTGCTGGCCAGTCGACAGGGGCACGCAAATTGTAATTTATGTGACAAATTTTTATGTACCACTAGCGCAAATGCGAATGCTTTACTTCTCACCACCAATTTTTCTCAATTGAGACATTTTTTAAGATTACAATTATCTAAATTTTATAACCCCCTACTAAAAGATAACAGCTTTTTCACCACTCAGCCTATGCCAAAGGCAAACTCAGTTGCAAACATTTTAGTCGGCAGTCAATTTCTGGGAAAACAATAAAATGTCCGCCAATTTGCTATGTTCTTAGTCGTTCGGTTCTACCACTCATCTTCCTGGAAGCAAACACCTTCGATTGCACTCAAGAACGAAAGACCAGCACTCAAGGCTGGCATCATCGTGGAGTGGCAAACGGCAGGCCAAGATTCCATTCCATTCATGCCGGAAGCGATTCATTCACAACGTGTTGACTCCAAACAGGTGTACGCAGGCCATAAGCCAAGTCACATTCGACTATCATTTATCACTTGAGCGGTGACTGCGGCTTATGCCAAATCTACGAGTATTTAAGCTGGTAAAGTGTTCGAAGAGTCTTTGTCCGGCGATTTGTCAATGATGCAAGCTTATGGCTTCGCATTCGGCCAATAGAATTTCCCAAGCGAACCCATTCATTAACTGCTGTCCGTCGCAGCGGGACTGCTACCAAATAGAAATCAATATAAATATTTCGGATTTCGGATTTCGTGCTTAAGACACAACAAAACGAATTAGACGCATTTAAAAACACCGATCGAAATCGATTTGCATTTAAAATCGAATCAGAGATTTCTAATTTCGGGCTACCACAGGCCAAGACAATAAAACGCCCACGCTTGGGCAATAGATGCGAACCAGTTTATAGAGCTGGCTCATCAGTCATTTTGATTACCACAAATAACCGGAGCTAGGTAGCCTTTTATTGGCCTCTGCCATTGATGTCAAATAAATTGATCGCGGCTGAATGCCTTTTTAAATTCCTCAACTTACAGTTTTTGTGGCTGCTACTGTGGTGGCTCCATATGATGGTCCAGTTTGAGGCACTGACTCTGACATATTGTCTGAAAATCTCACTGAAACAATAAACACACCACAGCTCTAGAATCAAGCATAGCATTAAGACAGACTGAGACCAGAAAAGGTCAACTCGGATAACTCGTTTTGTCATTTGCCAAAAAAATACAGAAACATCACTGAGGCAGAGATAAAATAAATGGCTTCAATATCGAATTAATAAAATTTAAATTATTAAAACTGGTCATTTCCTGTTCGAAGTTCGAACTAAAAATGATACCAAAACAAAAACACACATACAAGGCGACGAGAAAAATAAAAACAAATTCATGCAATATGTGACCCAATTTGTTGAAAGGAGGAAAAATGAAATAAATAAATTTCATTGGTGCGGCAGTGTAATTTATTGCATGTTTTGCTCATTAAATTGATTTTTCCCCTTTGATTTTGAGTGCCAGTGTCATTGTCAGAGACGGGGACACACGGACTTGGACCCGGAGAAACCGCCAAGGAGTCGAGAAGAGCACGAATGTTTGTGTTTGTTTGTTTGTTTGTTTGTTTGCTTGTACTGCTGCTGCTGTTGCTGCTGGGTTTCTGCTGCTGTTGCACTTTTCAGCACGCTCGAGTTTCATATAAAATGCCAATTAAGCGTGAATATAAGTGCCAGATAATTTTTCAGACAGCGGCCAATGTAACCCAAATTGCCAAAAAACGAGAAAGACTTACAACAAAGCCAAAACGAGCAACAGGAGCCGAAGGTAAAAAGTAAAACCAAAAAGTAAAACTTATTTTTCAGGGGTAAAATTCTCTTACCAAGTCGAGTCGATAGAGTGCTTTATTCTAAAGCAGCAAGTTAAGTACTAAGCACTGATTAACCAATAAAGTAGAATTTACAACAGTTTCTTCAGAGTAAGATCTTAAATGAGTGAAACTCTTTTATCCGGATTATTTAGATATCATTGCAGTTTCCCCAGAATCTCAAGCCAACCCACATTTTGTGTGGCTTTCGCCTGTGCAACATTGTCAATAGATTTTGCTTTGAAGTGACCTGCTGACAGCCGCAACGATGACTTCAAAAGCCCACCGCTGACCTCATAATAAGCCAGGCTCATCTCCACTCAAATGTGGGGCTCATCTGCCTTCAGGGAGGGCATTCGAGATTCGTTTCGGCTTCAAGATCCCCAGCCAGGCAGCCTTTAAAAATATTTACAGCACTCAAGTGCAATTCAAGTGCTGGGCCAAAAGCCGAGCGATATGCCCAACAACATCTCCACGTCCACGTCCACGTCCACTTCCACATCCAAGTCCGAATTCGGTTCAATTCAGGCAAAAACGAGACCCCCGAAAAAAGTAAAGCCCAGGCCGAGAATAACGAGCCAAAGTGTTTCTTTGGTTTTTTGTGTCGGATTTTGAGCATTTTTCATTTCGGAACGACAGGCGAACTCTGATGTTGACGTCCACGTCTGTATCGAAGTCGCAGAGCTTGGAATTTGTGGCATCGTTTTCGGTTTCGGTTTCGTTTACGATTTCGGCCAAGAGTCTCAGTCTCAGCGCGGCATTCGTACTTTGACTAGTACAATGACAAGAGTTAAGCGATCCCAAAAGCCAAAACAATGGCGGTCATGCTCATAAAATGCCCAAATGTTATTGTTGTTTTTTTGGGGGGAAGTATTCGGATATTCGGATATTCCGATCTTCACCGTTATCGCAAGGCCCTGAGAGACGGCGTTGATTTTGATAAATGTTTAATTAATTTTGTGCCTCACTCGAACATTAAACCTGGCTATTTTCTGACTTAATGAACAGAAATTAACAACACACTGAGATCACTCTCTGGGGGGAGATATGTTGGACCCAGGAGGAGACGGGAGACAGAAGCCAACCATGCGGAAGATCTTCAAAGTCTACGCTTTTTTGGTCAAGTCTCTTTTCATCTCATCTCGTCTGGATTTTCTCATTTACATTTTATTATGCTGGCTCTGACTCTGGCTACGGATTATGAATGAACTTTTACCTACACACATGTGAAATATGTTGTAATTAGTTTTTTTCCAGTTTTTTTCCCTTCTTCGCTCAGTGAGTGATTTTCAACAACGACTGCAAATTACAAGTTATTATTAATGTTAACAAGCGAAATCGCCGTGTACTTATGTGTTTATATATGGTCGAGTGTGTATATAGTGAAAACTAATTTAGCAGGGGACCGTCCCCCCGAAAACTCCTTGATTTGTTCGAATAACTTATGCACGTACATTAATGACTGTTCTTGATTTATGCGATGCGATCAGAGGGTAGCAGGAGGCACCTTCCTCGGCAAGTGGGTCACATGTCCCGTGGGTATTTGTACTTACTGCTTACAGCTACACGAGGCACTAAATGAGGCCATAAAAAAAAGAGACAACCTCCGCGGTAGCGCAGACATTAAATAGAATCCGAATGAAACACAAAATACGCTCCACAATAATTATGCAAAGAGCTGCAGCAAAGAACAAAAAGCTCGTTGCACAAGCGACATCGACACGAACTCATAAAATATGCAAAATGTGTGCCAGGCAGCCAGAAGTCGGCACTCGGCACTCGTCCGACAGCCAGCAACTTGTGTCAATAAAAATCAAGCCAAGCTGTGCAAATGCATCCTCATCCTCCAATTCAATGCAATCCTCTAGCCCAATCCTCTGCACTTGTTCCACCGACTCGACTCGACTCGACTCGGTGCTGGCCACATGCAGCTGGCAACTGTGAGTGTGTCTCGAGTCTAGACAGCAGACAGCCAAAGTCACTTCACGTTGCACATTGCGCTTCCTGACTCCAGATTCAATGAGCCATGGCCGCGAAGGATGGTGCACCGGTGCACTGGTGGACTGGTGCACTTTTTACAGCCACCAGATAAATAGGTTGAGTGTGTGGGACTAAGGCTGATCGGTACCAGGTTTACGGGTGAACAATACAAAAATTCATCTCTGCCATGAAAACGGCTTATCCGGGTTAAATTTATTGAAAGTCCTCGGGGAATTTGCATACTCCCGCAGAGAACGGATGATCACATGCTCTCATCGGATGGGATCAATGGACAAATCGGTTTATGTACTGGTCTCACAAATTGGCAGGAGCAGGAAGCGGCTTTATGGGGATCGTAAACAAGGAGAGGTGTTTGTGGCAGCATTGCTCAAAGTAAAGCAAAGCCCCAGCAAAAGCACTTTAAATGCCTGGTACACTTAAGTAAATTCCTAACTAAAGCATTTCACTATTAATCTTCACTCAAATTATATAAATTAAAAAACAAAAACTCATAAAAATCCATTTATTTTAATTTTTAAGTAGCAGTTTTGGAAAACTAAAAGATGTTAGGTAAAAATAATTTTTCTGAGTGCAGCAAGACTCTCTGGCATTTATGGTTGGCAGTAAATAAATAAATACGTAAAGCAAATGAAAATCAAACGGGAAAATGTCAGAGGCAAAAGTTCTGAGCCCGGGCAGCAGACAAATAAATTTATGACACATGACGTCTTGGAGTACAAGTACGGGCCACAACTACAGCTACAACAACATCGGCATCGAACGAGCGTTGACTGAAGTGTAACTTCCCACTGACCCAATTTACAAGCACTTAATGCCAAAAAGGAGAAGTCGTAGAAGAAATAAACAAAGACGAAAGCCAGGCTGGGGTAATGCATATCAAATAAAGTTCAAGCGACAGCAGCAATGGAAACACCAACAAGACGACAAAAATTATTACCAAAATAGACAGCACCGGCCACAGGAACAACAACAAATAAATTTAAATTAAAATCCAAAAACTCCCACACATAAAACTCGAGAAAGAAACGCCGAAGAAAAAATGTACACACATACATTGGGAGCAGCAGTAGCAGCAGCAGCAAAAAAAAGGTCTGTCAAAATTAAATCATTCCGGTGGCAAACAACATAAACCGATGGTTAAAAGTTGATAATGATGATGCTTGGATAACGCTCGTTATTACTATGGTTGCTGTTATTTCTGCTGTTGTTGCTGCTTTTGTGGCTGTCCAGTGCGTTGGTGGCTGGCACTGACAGCGTAACAAATGCTATTTTGACAAAGTGTCTGACATGAGGAGCGTGGAAGCGCAGACCCAGAAAGAGACAAGCGAACGAGAAATGAGCCCCGCAAGGGTATACCACTACAATTATGCGAAAGTGAGAAAAAAATCTGTGCGAAACGGGTGCTGCGTGTCTGGTGTATACCTACTATCTATATATGGCCAGGAGAAGAAGAAATTTATGAAAACTTCCAACGCTGATAAACACCCGCAAATGTTAAGCGAACGAACGACCCAGAGACCATTCCACTTGACGGCCAAGCTTCCGGTTTCTTTTTTGGGTGAAATTTTCTATGCGCCTGTGGCAGATTTATGTGAGAAAACAAAACAGCGGCACAACATTTTTCATAGAAAATTATGAACACCGAAACACCGATAGCGAACTTGGAAATTTGCATATTCCTCCCTTTTGGCGCTTTAACACATATGCGGTGTTGTTGGCTGCATGACACGAGCAACAGGCTTTTAATTATTAACATTAGACACTAGAAAATGAATACGAACGAATAAGATAAACAAAATCAATCATTCAGTGGTTTCACAACCCATGGAGCTTGGCAGACAAATTAGCAGCTTTTATTTCACTCATTTGTCACCGTGTTTCTTGGCAAACATACTAGATTTGCCGTCAATTAAAGAAAATCTTGGTCTGCCTGTTGGCCATGTTAAACTGACAATGAGTTACTTATTTAAGTCAAATAAATAATAGAATTTGGTGAGAAAAATTTTATAAGTTTGGCAAAAGTTATCAAAAAAAAAATTTGTCAGGAAACATTTGATTTTAAAAAATGCATTGCTTCATTAAGCTTAAGCCGAATAAAAATGCTATTTGTTAGTTACAAGTAAAGAATTTCCAGTTTCCAACTTCTTACGATTTATTAGTTTTTGTTCTTATATCAACAGTAGCAATTATGACGATTCAACTTATTCTTAGAGCACCGTCATATTTTCAATCATTTTTTTCGGTCGCAAACCATAATCAGTTTGGCGTTTCATTCATAATTTTTCACTGAGAGCGTTAACAAGTTCGTTGCCTAAGTCTTTTGTTCCTGCTCCCCAAAAGCAGTGATCAAGAGTTAATACAAAGTTATTCACGAGTGTATTTAAGTAAAGCTTATCTTCACCATGAGTCTTCGTTGCTTGAGTCTTTTGTTTGCATTACTGAATGCTGTGTTGATTTGGAATTGCTTTTTATTAGTTTTATTTTCCGTTTTTGTCGTTTTTAATTTAAAGTGACGACGTTTCACTTTAATAATTTTAATACCTTGAGTTTTTTATTGCCTTCGTTTTAATTAAATGCCATTAAGGTGTTTCTCTTTCCCTGAGCTTCAAGCCAATTGTTTTTTTTTTGTATAGGGAATCGCATTTTTGTGATAGGCAGTTCGGTGAAAAATTGTGGTGCTCCCATTTGCTGGATCTTATCTGAAATTGATTTCGTTTTAATTTACTGCCTGCACACACTTAAACTTCAGTTTATGGCTTTTTTTTCTATCATCAGCGCCCGCTTGATATTGATTATGTTTTTATACAATTTAAATATATAAAACTGATTAATATTCATTGATGGCTAATTTATGAGGCTTGTATGTGTCAGTGGATATGTGTGCCTTTGCTGGTGCTTGAGCCGTGGCTACTGCTAGGTTCGACTAACTTTCTTCCAGCAACTGGTAAAATTATCAATTATGAAGTCATTATTATTTACAGCAAGCCAAACATGCGGCCAGCCGCGTTTGATTAATAGCTTTTCGAGCCACGGTCTTGTCAAGGGTTCGTCGTTTTCTATTTTCGCAAGTTTAAATTTTTGCGCATTTTTCTTTTTTGCACAGAAGGTGTTGCCGGAACATTTTTTCTGCGTTTGAGTTTTAGGGTTTTGCGGCAGTTGCTGCGCAGTTCTAATTAGCTAATTATACGCTAAATTAGTATATAATTATTGCTGGCCAGGCGCTTGACTTGCACACGCCAAGTGACTAATATAAGCGGGCCAAAAGTTAAGAGGCGCCCAAGCGAGATTTTTGGCACTATTTAAGTATAAGGAAAATAAACACTTAAGTGGTGGATAAGGCTTAAGTGCCGTTGAGATGCGCTATCATCAATTTCTGAAATCTGTAATCAATTTGCGAATTTTCGGCACAAAAGAAACCAAACGGGCAAAGACAAAGAATGTTTTATTAATATTTGCTAGTGTGGTCAAAATCTTCACATTATTTTATTTTAATTCTGCTTTGTTTCGCGGTTTTCTGGACATGATAACTGGCTGGGAATTTCTATGGCCTGTGCGTCATGGCTTTCCAAATAAAAAAGGCCACGATAAAACTTGAATTTATGCCTGCGATAAAGCAGCCCTGTTTTTTGTCCCGCCACAAAGACTAAACTATTAAAAATTATACAAATTTGTGTATATATATATGAACTACAGAAATTTGATTTTAATATGGTTCTGCTTTGCATAGATGTGCGACAGGCAAGAAATTCAGAGACTTACCTATGAAATAAACTAAAGATTTGGACAACGAACCTGGCAACCAAACTTGCACTTACCGGTTTGAAATTGGTCAAAGTGGTCGGAAAGTTTATCCAAATTTTAACAGCTTAATAAATCCACATTAATATGTACGTTCATAG